GTTTTTCTTTGTGGAACGCATATGCGTTCCACCTATCGGCGGTTCAAGATGACGTCATCGATCCGTGCGTGGAACGCACATGCATTGCACTTCGCCACTTCAGTTCAACGAGGAAAATCTCAAAACACAAACACTGAATGTATTAGGCAAAGTTACACCAAGTTATCAAATATAAATATATTAAGTATACTTAAACACTCCATATGTCTTAAAATAGATCTGATATACATTAAATATATATTGTAGAGCACTTCTCACAGAGAGAAGTGGTTAAGGATATCACAAGCTATATAGGTGACCATTCCAAAAAATACAATTCACGATATCACAAGCTAATTCACGATATCACAAGCTATATAGGTGACCATTCCAAAAAATTAAATTTTTTGGAATGGTCACCTATATAGCTTGTGATAACCTTTATTTTGTATATATTGCTGCACCTGGGTGGTCTGCACATATATATTACTTAATGACAACAGCATTTTTGCATTTATTGCACCGACACATATTATATATCGTTTTTTAAAGGACAGAAAGGGCTTTAATTTGATGTAACATATATATATATATATATATATATATGCTTTATTATAAAAAAATACAGAAAAATGCAAAAAACTTTTTTTTTTTTTTACAGTTTTTGCAATAATGTGTGCATAATTAGTGCAGGTTAAGGAAAGTAATTAAAAATAAATTCATTTAGTTGTTCTGATTTACAGAATATATAATGTGTCTGGGATTTTTAGTTTTTTTTGGTAGTTACAGGTCACAAAGCACAAGGAGTAAAATAAACTTTTAATGTGGAGCAATTTTAAAATTTGGTATGTTTGTCTTGTAAGCTTAATAGCCATAAAAGAAAACAAAATTGCAACACAAAAGTATATTTATATAAAGCATGGGTCGTCAACCTGGTCCCTACCGCCCACTAGTGGGCGTTTTGGGATTCCAGGTGGGCGGTAGGGACTTTGGAGGTTAAAACCTCCTTTTGAGCGAGCGCGCGGGCGGGCGCGCGAGCGAGCGGGCGCGCGAGCGAGCGCACACATCAAGAAACCAACGCGAGCGAGTGGGCGGGCGGTGCAGGCGGGCGCGAGCGCACACATCAGTCAACCTCCTTTTGTGTGAGAAGTTGTTGGGCGGGAGCGAGCGCACGCAAACACGTGGGAAGAGGAAGGGGAGGAGTTGAAACTGATAGCAGGGACAGGCAGAAGCAGGCTGAAACGGAGGAGAGGAGTTGAAAAAGAAAAGTTATAGGCAGGAGAAAGAGAATTGTTTAGGGGAGGAGTGGAAACTGATAGCAGGGACAGGCAGAAGCAGGCTGAAACAGAGCAGAGGAGTTGAAAAAGAAAAGTTATAGGCAGGAGAAAGAGAATTGTTTAGGGGAGGAGTGGAAACTGATAGCAGGGACAGGCAGAAGCAGGCTGAAACAGAGCAGAGGAGTTGAAAAAGAAAAGTTATAGGCAGGAGAAAGAGAATTGTTTAGGGGAGGAGTGGAAACTGATAGCAGGGACAGGCAGAAGCAGGCTGAAACGGAGCAGAGGAGTTGAAAAAGAAAAGTTAAGGGCAAAGAGAGAAAGAGAATTGTTGGCTAATAATAATAAGTGGGCTAACTAGCTCAGCCTTACTTTTGTCGCTCAGGAAGGTAAAAGAAAGGAGATAAAAAGGAAAAGATAAAAAAAATTAAAAAAGGAAGAAAAATAGAAAAAAGGGGATAAAATAAAGGAGGAGAGTAAGCAGTGTTTAGTCTGGCTCATAAATTAAGTTTTGTTATCTTATAAAATAAAAGAAAAAAATAAGTAAGGGAAGGAGAAAATAAAAAAAAGGAAAAAGAGATCCTTAATATAGTGATATACTATAAGGAAGGTAAAGAAGCAGGCAGGAAAAGGAATTTCTTTTGATGGTGACATTAATAAAAATTGGCACCTAATACAGCATTGTTTTTGGTGTTAGTAATAAAAGGGAAAAGAGGAGGGAAAAAAGCACTGTGTGGAGTGCAGATCAAAACGTAAGAGTAAAAGTAGTTGTTAAATTGTGAAACAAATTTAGAACCCATGTCTGAAAAAAAGAAATACGCTCGTGGCTATTTACCAGAGTATCTGAAGATGGGTTTCATTGAATCTGTTACAAATAAACAGCTTCCAATGTGTTTACTGTGCCACAAGACATTATCTAATGAAGCAATGAAGCCAAGTCGATTGCGAGAACATCTTACTACAAAGCATTCGCAAGATAAAGATAAGCCCATTGAATATTTTCAAGAAATCTATAAAAGATTTCAAAATCGTTCAACAATAGCTACATCCTTTCAAAAACAACATGCAAAGAATGAGGATGGATTAACTGCAGCTTATCGTATATCACACTTAATTGCAAAAAGTGGTAAAAGCCATAATATTGGAGAAACTTTGATAATACCCTCTATCAAAGAATTTATCTCAACAGTAATGCATCAGGATATACCTGAAGTTTTAAAAACATTGCCCCTTAGCGATAACACAGTAAAGAGACGCATTGATGAAATGGCGGCTAATGTTGAAAATAAACTTATAGGTATTCTCCAAAATTCGTCATTTTCTATACAATTGGATGAGTCTGTCATTGCAGATAATAATGCTCTACTGATGACATATGTACGGTACCTTGATGAAAACAATACATTGCAAGAAGAAATGCTATTCACTGTCAATCTGATTACAGATACAAAAGGATTATCAATATTTAATGCTGTGAAATCATACTTTGCAAAAAACAATATACCCTTGAACAATATTGTTGCATGTGCTACTGACGGAGCACCATCAATGGTAGGCCGCTATCGTGGGTTTGTTGCTTACTTGAAGGAAGAAGTGCCAAGCGTTTTGTGTATTCATTGTGTTGTACACAGACAACATATTGTAGGAAAACATTTAAGTACAAGTCTCCATTCATCATTAAGTATTATAATTAAAGCTGTAAATAAGATAAAATCTAATGCCAAGTGTGATAGAATGTTTCGACAGCTGTGCCAGGACAATAACGAGCAGTTTATTAGGTTACTTTTACATACAGAAGTTCGATGGCTCTCAAAGGGTACATGCTTGACTCGTTTTGTTGCATTATTTGATAGTGTCGTACAGTTTTTTGAAAGTGATAATGAGACTGGTCTCTATGAACAGTTAAAAAACGTAAAGAATGATGCCTTTTATTTGGCAGACATTTTCAAGAGATTTAATGACATTAATTTGCAGCTTCAAGGAGCCAATATAACTCTTATAAGTTGCAAAAATATTGTGTCATTATTTATCGAAAAGCTTGATCTTCTCCGTCATAATATTTTCAAGAGAGAATTTCATCAGTTTCCTGAATTGTCCTCTATAAACAATGATGTAAGTCCGGGGGATATTGAAAGGTTCAGTAGTCACCTCAAGGAACTCAAATTGGATATGGAAAAACGATTTCAAGATATTTTGAACTTAAAGGTGCATGACTGGATGATAAATCCTTTTACAGCAAATGTTGCTGAAGTTGATATAACTTGCCAAGAAGAACTATTAGAACTTAAATATGACGAAGAGAGTAAATGTAATTTTGGCAGTGGTGGATACCAAAAACTCTGGCAAAATAAAAAAATGCCTGCGTTATATCCAAATATGTGGAAAATGATGTTCAATTTATTGATACCTTTCCCTACCACATATCTTGTAGAATCAGGCTTTAGTGCTGTTAATCATATTATGAGCAAACAGAGAAACCGTCTGAATATCACCGAAAGAGGAGACCTTCGTTTGTTCCTTACGAAAATCGAACCAGATATCAAATATTTAGTCTCGCAGCATCAGCCTCAAGGATCTCACTAGTAAAGCTAATTTCAATTTACTTTATTGTTTTCTAATTAAACTTTATAAAGTTAAAAACATTATAAACATGCATAAAGTAGAAATAAAAAGATAAGTGTACGTACATTTATTTATTTTTTTTAAAACAACCTCCTTTCTAAAAAATATTCCGCGCTTGCGCGAAAACTGGTGGGCGGTAAGGAAATTTTTCCATCAAGAAAGATGCATTAGTGGGCGGTAGGTAGAAAAAGGTTGACTACCACTGATATAAAGTATACATCACAGGCTATTTACCTAAGGTTGTTTTGACACTTTCTATGTAGCCATTTCACCGCCAACCTCTGCTAAATATTGGAGTAAAATTTAGTTGTTTTTGTTTGTTTTTGGCACACAAACTTATAACAAAGAACTTCTCATGTGTATTTTGTAAAGTTGGTGTGTGCTATTCCTGTACTAAGCTTAATTTCGTGTTCAGTTACATCTGCTGAGTAAAATTACACCCCCATTGTATGTCTTTGGCACTATTTCGTGAAGCTACATTGCCATATAGGAGACCTGTCCTTTTCAGTACTCCCAGTAGAATTTTGAGAGACGGATTTAATGAGCCTATGCTTCCATTTGGGGTATTATAACAATTTGACTGTTCAAAAAAAAACAACCCACAAAGGCCTACCATTTGTAAAAGTAGACACTCCAGGGTAAGGTGCATATTGTGCCTTAACATGCCCCCATTTGTTCACCAATAGATGCCAAAGTATGTGGTAAAAAATAATTTTGTGCGTTTTTTACATATAGATTGCATTTTTGCTGGGCATTTTGTATATTTCACATGTGCCACTAAGTTCAAACCCCCCAAATTATGCCCAGCTAAGTCTTCTGAGTAAAAAGACACCCTCAATGAATGTCTTTGGCACAATTTCGTGAAGCTACAGTGCCATATAGGAGACCAAGCTATATCAGTTTTTGAATTTTGACGCTGGGCCTATGTGCAATTTCCAAGCATCTTAGCAGGTTTTAAATTCAAACTACCCCACAAAGGCCTACCATTTCTTAAAGTAGACACCCCAGGGTATTTCAAAAGGTATATTCTAAACCTTAGTGTAGGATCAGTTTTTTGTTAGTTTGTACCAAGTCTAGTTGCAATTAGCATTTTTTCTGCCTTTTTGACACACACTTGGAGATGTTACTGTATATTTTGCAATCCTTATGTGTGCTACGGCAGTATAACACCTAATATGTTGCTCAGCTATGTCCTCTTGGTGCAAAAATACCCCCATGTGAATTTTTTTCAGGGATATGTGGATGTTAAAGGGGCACATTTGAGACACACCAATTTCATATTATTCAAGAGTGGATGCTGGGCCCAAGTCTCATTTCATCAACTTAAGATGGCAAATTACCTCTCATATGCCACATCTATTTTTAAATATAAGCAGCTCATCAATTTAAATTATGAACAAGTGCATACTGTTTGCTGTGAAAGGGGGAATATTTGGCGTAAACTTATCAGGGAG